CAGTCATGAATTGACAATTTGTTTCTAGTACATATCATGTTTACGTTTCAGAGAACTGACAGAATTACATTGGGCTTCAGGATGAAAATCCGTGCTTGAGAGTCCGTGCTTGAGTCAGGCGCACTGTCTCATTGTTAAGGTGGTCACATGATGATGGCTTAATGATGATGAATTATGTGCTACTGCACTTTATGTGTGTTAATATAACTTTTAATCTTAATGTTGCCTGCAAATATGTGATCCCCTATAATGTAAGTTTCCTGTTTTATGCACCATTGCCCTTTTTAAGTCAAAGAGAAGATTCTGAAACTATAAAAACTACACATGTCAATGTTTTACAGCTACGTAATTCGAATTGACTTGATTTTTTCAAGTAATCCTAGAAAGGGGGAGCATTCCATATAGAAACTGCTGAAACTGCCACAGGTGCTTCTCCGAAAACCTTACAGTTGTGGCATTGAATGTTCAGTATCGCTTCCTTTCTGCACACAAGGCATACTGTTGAGGTATTTGTTGCGGTGATTGGTTTTAATGCTAATCTAGGAATTCAGATATAGAATATATAGATTTGCATGCTCTTGCTTACCCTAATTGCAGTATCTTATTTTTTTAATTTGTAAACTAACAATATATTAAGTTTGAGTATTTTTAAGTGGGCATATTAGATTAAGAACTGAAGTATTATTTTCTTAAGTCTCATGGCATTAGTGAAGAGAAGTTTTTCAGCTGCAGATACTATGTGGCAATCATTCCAATTATGTTAGGGGGTTATTCTTAATAGAAGCATACCCCTTTTTTAAAATGATCATTTTAAATCAATCTATGTTTTGTTCAAAGTATGTGACATTATAAGTGGATAATACCTTCAGGGTTTTAACCAGCCCTTTCTGAGAATGATAGGAATCTCCTTTTATATCCCTTCCCCCTAAAATACCCACATGCAATATCACAAGGAAAAAAGGGCTACAGGAAACCATCCATTGTCTAGTCAACTACAAAACGTACCAAAGAAAGTAAACGTTCTAGCGTACTTATATTCTTAGGCCTCTTAGGGCATACCTTTTCTATTTTAAATTATGCTTTGATAACTTTATTTAGCAGGGTAATTTTTTAAATTATAAAGTTGATGCTCTTAATTAGTCAACTGTTTTGCTCTCTAATTTTGTATTAAATTCACGTCTTCCTATTGAAAATACTGTTACCTGGTCACATGGTTAGGTGAAATTATTCTTTTCCTTATTGTCACATTAATTGAAAAAAGCAAGAGTCATGTATGCCTGACACAGAACACTGTGCTGGCAATTGATGTGTAACATGAAAGCTAACATCACATTTAGGATAAGGTTCAGTTCCTATTGTGGTCAAGGAATAGCTGCTTGATGACTTAAATGGGAGTTGGATCTGCTGATGAATCAGTTATCTGAGAGGAATGCAAGAATTATATTAAAGATTGTATGCTGCATCACTGCCATCCTTTAATAGCTGATTTATAATATTACAACAGTCTCAAATGAATCATGGCCTTAGAATGGATGTCATGGTGTCATAGCTAAATGGAAACTCAAAACTGAAGACTGAAATCCAGAGATGAGAAGACTCCTTGTCAAGACTAATCATAGTAATGAAGATTCTGGGAGCAGCACTTTGTCCAAGAGGAACATGGATGAGGCATGAGGGGGAGAAGTCTGCTATGAATGTTGCCCTTAGTACTGCAAAGAAAGGTATACATGTACATGACTATTAAAGGTCAGAAGATAAAAGCATTTAACATGGATAGATGAAATTTAATAGTTCGCAGTATTCACATACATTCAGATACCTTAAGATGCAAGCATTCGGATTACTAGGCTTTTTCACACTGGCTTATCTGAAATGATGTGAATCTCGTATTTTTTTCTCTCACACTCTCTCACCCACCACCCACAGACAAGTATTCCTGAACTTGGGCTTTGCCATTTTTAATGTACTGAGGTCTAGCATTTGTTACATACTACTTTGTTTTAAGGGATTGTCTATTTCCGCACCCAAGAAAATAGGTTTTCCCTCCAAAAACCAAATAAAATCTCTGTGTACAGCAGCAGGAACAGAAGTCAGTGTCATTAAGGCCAACCTAATGGGGATATTCTGTACTTCCTTTCAATGTCCTCACTCGTCACTCTATATAGAATCTTATCAATAGCACAGGAAAAGAGCTTTAGTAACTTTCTTAGGATGTAAGGCGTCTGTGTCTCACTCTCTTCAGACATAATTTTGTGCAACTTTGTATGAGTAGGTAGGCCATCTAGGTGTCAAACATGAGTTAAGGCTTGTGTTCTGTAAAAAGTTCTCTTCACCCCTTTTTCTGATTTAAAAACTGACTTTGGTCCTACTTAAAAGAATTACTGCTCTTTGTGTTCCTACTTAAAAAGCTTATTTTCTGTTTTACTCTGTTAGAAAATACTACCAAACATATGCCTTGATCTATAATTGAGAGCAAAAAATTGTTCTGACCATACTTTGGATTGAATGAGAAGAATAAGGAAATCTCTTTTGCAGACAATTTTTGGCTTGTTTTCCCTAGGAAGCAGATCTTGATTTTTCTTACAAAGCAAATTTTGTATAAAGCCTGCTCTAAGTATTCTATATATTTTTGTGCTAGCCATTAATTGGCACAATGGCATATATATTACAATATGAACCTATTTGCTGCTTGGAAAATTTTTTTGTTATAAAAAGAATCTGATCATGTCATGTTCTCTTACTTCATTTACTCATCTCTTATTTTAGATAGGGTTGAAATATCTTAAGATGGAGATAAATTCTGTGCATTCTGTTTTTAAGAACTCCCTGCTTTGCAGATTTTTCTGAAAAAATCCAGATATGGTACATTTAAGATGCCGTTCTATGTGTGTATGGCTGACTGGGGAAGACTGGGAAGTATATGACCATTTTCTGCCAAAACATGCAAAGAATTGCACCCTTAACTGTCTTATTTATATCAGATATAACTTTCTTAATTAAAAATGTAGACATTTCCAGATGTGGTTGCAAGAATACAAAACCTTTAGTAAATCAGATACCTTCCATTTTTCATAGCATGTTTATGAATAGTAGAATTAAGGTTCTTTCTTATGAAAACTTAGATCACTTTTATTTCTTTTTCCATGTGATTCTTTCCCCCCAAATATAGCATGTGCTGTTATGGAGCTTGAGACATCCTCCTTTTCTTTGACATTCCAAATCAGGAATACTGTCCTTTATAAGTCTCCTTTAAAATTATATTCCTGCTGCTCTGTTCATTTGGCAGGAAAACTGCTGTGTTTAAAGCCCATAATTGAGTTTTCTTAAAGAATCTCCACTCTTAAATCCTGAAGCATTTTGAGCTTCCCTAACTTCATTTCTTCAAACCAACAAAATGTTTCTGAGCTCTTACAGGTTATGACAATTTTCTCCATATCTTGGCAGTCTTTTTCTTGATGTTTTCTATTTATATTAGCTTTCTTTCATTGGGTAACAGCAACTTCGCATGAATGCCATGACATTCAACCTCTGCATGTCATTGACAGTCAGTCTGAGACTTAAATGGAGCTCTCTTCCCAGGTGGCCTTGTAACTTGGGATTTAGGAAGGAAAGGGGAAGCTGGATACCTATATATGGGAAGTGTAGGCAGGCCTTCCATTGAAAGTATGAAGTTGTACATTGTGGCACTTGTGCTCCTGCTGCAAAAGCAAGTGATGGGGAACAAAAAGGGCTTTAGTGTCCCGTCAGTTTTCACCCATGTTAAGATAGCTTGTCACCAGTGCATAAAAAATCTTTTTATTCCTGCAATAAATAGTTCATCGCTCAAATGGATATTAAGTGAACTACGGTTGTACTTCAGATAAAATCTTGTTTCTCTTTCTGTAGATTAGCATATCTAGGTTTACAGACATCCCAGAACTCTCATCAAGATATTAAGAATATAGTTTTCAGTAACAATGTCTAGAAGCATCTTCTGCAATTTCTTTCTTCATTCTTTGGAATAATAACAAATTAACGTTTCTGCACAGAGCAGATTAGCTGTAGTTTGTTTTCTACAACAGAGCAGATTAGAGCAGATTAGCTATAGTTTGTCCCATCAGTCTTTTCACCTGTTTACAGGTTATAAGCAGTGTTGCCTGATTTACATTGTATGTAGAAGTTACGGGTCACCTTAATCATACACTTGTTCTGCGCTTCGTTAGGAAAAAAATCACTGCTACCTTTCTGTGCAATTCTTTGTGCTTCCACTTTTTTGCTCTTTACAAAGCAAACGTGTGTATTAAAAGCAGTGTACATATGTGGTTTTTCATGATGAATGACAGAGAATTCTTGTTCTTTAGAAGCTCAAAATCTAATGCTACAAAATTTTGTACACATGATCGTAAATTAATATACTGGATGATAGTCTACCACTTATGATGTCACAAACTTTGAAATAAGCGCTGAGCTTAATACAAAACATAAGCAATGATACAGTAAAGAATTCTATGCAGGTCTATATGTAAATAATTTGTTGCAAATGAATACCTACTTTTTATTGTGAGGAGAAATCATGATATATTTTTGTGGTGGTAGAATCTAGAATGCCATGGACAACTATTACATTTTGTAACAATTGTTTTAAGTATTTACTTCAGATCATTCCTTTTTATCAAATTAAATAGTAGAAGAAAGGATTTGGATCAGGAGTCTGAAATTTGTGTAAAGGTCAGATGCTTCAGACTGTAGGCAAGAAATTTTAACTTACTCAGGCATTTAAATAGGAGAGTTTACTTTTTATGGCACATAATGGTTCTGAATTGTACTGATTCCTGAACCTTGTTTAGAATTCAGATATGTGCTAAGATGTTAGTTATATAATTTAAAATTTGATAACTTAAAAACCCTTAATGGGAAAATTGCAAAATTCTCTCTCATCACCTTCTCAGTTAGTTAAATCAGCAGCAGTCATCAGGTTATATTTATTATGGGGTATAATTCAGTATATTTGTATTGTGCAGCTTAAGAAATGCCAGTGGCCTGACAGCAGCAGATCTTGCACATACCCAGGGCTTCCAGGAATGTGCTCAGTTGCTCTTGAACCTCCAGAACTGTCCGCTGAACCATTTCTATAGCAATGGCATCTTAAATGGGGTACATCAGAATATCCCCAGTGTCCTCAATAGAGGTATAAGTCGAAAACGAACCTTTGAAGACATGGATGGTGTTGGAAGCAAGAAGGCTAGGACTGAAGGTGAGGAATTTGATTTCTTACACTTGGACCCAAGACATTAAGGTAAACAGAGGCCTAACTCAAAAATAATGGGGAGCCATGGTTTCTAGCAACAGGAATGAGCTGCAGTTCATCCCCCTTCTTTTCCTTCCCTTTTCATTGCCTGAGAATGAGATTGTAAGCATTTGCTTCTAATTTTAAATCAGAGGTGAGCAACATGTGGTCCTCCCAGTGTTTTTGACCTGCAATCCAGTGTGAGAGTGTGATGTACTGATTAAGCAGGCAGGACTGGGACTTAGAAAATCCATGTTCTGGTTGCCACTCAACCATGGAGCTCATCAGTTGATTTGGGGCCAGTCCCAGACTCTCAGCCCAACCTACCTCACAGGGTTATTGTTCTGAGAATAAGAATGAGAGGAGAAGAATTATGTAAAATGCCATGAGTTCCTTGGAAGGAAGGAAGGAAAAAAGTGGAATATAATTATATTAAATTCTTTCATCCCTTATCATGAAATGAGCTGGCTAGAAAGGACAGTAGTTGCAGGCCAGAACATCGTAAAAGGTTCTAGGTTGACAAACCACAGTTCTTTGAGTTTGGAAAACATGGGCAACTGAAGTTGGTTTAAAATAGGAAATGAGTCTGTTGTGTCATTTTAATCTGAAGAACAAAAGATTGGGTGAGAGGTGAGCCTAGAGCAATTAATGAATAAGGAAACCAGAACTGCTTGTTATATCTGAACTCAAGGCTGAACATTAGATAATTCTGATGTTAACTTTAAAGCACCAAGACATGATCTGGCTTGAGATGGCACTGGAAAGTCATCTCCATAGGTAATCACTTTTCATGATGTTGCCCTTAAGAACATGTTCTTCAATTTATAAAGATGCAAACAAGCAACTATTCTACGGGCCATCATTGACCTTGTTGCAAATGTGTTTTTAAAGGGTCTGGCACTCTTACTAGGAAGTACTGTTAAAATCACTAGGATTTTATCAAAGAGTATATGTTGTAGTTATTACCTTACCTTTAAACTGAGACATCTGCAACTTAACCTTTACATTTGAACCAGTTCATTGACAATATTGTAGCATTTATATAATGCTTTCCTATGTGTTTAAAGTGCTTATGTGTGTTATTTTAGACCTTGTAGACTTACTGTGAAGTAAGTCCTTTTTTTCCAAATAAGAGATGGCAAGAGAGAAGACTGAAAATGGTCACATTCCTTGCCTACTTAGGTGATACTTCTTTATTAGCAAGCATTTAGATTCATTCTGAAATTATGAACATAGTATGTTGATTTAAATTACAAGTTTGATTTGGGTAAGCCACAATAAGTTGATGTTGGTAGTATACCAGTTTCACCTAAAGTTAAGACATTTGCCACAGCTTGCCTCTTCCAGGTTAACTTCTACTTAGGTCCCAAGGCTGTGGTATATCAAAGTAAATACTCTACCAAGCAGCTGCGTATGCAGTTAGGATGGTTTTCATACCAGTGCAACCTCCTCCAGATGCTCTTCCCATTGCACATTCTGCTTTCATACAGTTATTAAAGGTGTGCATGAAACTAAACTTCCTTGTAATTAAAATGAAACATTCTGAATATTTTTTCGGAACAGGTCAACATTTTGATGGCTTAACGTCAATGACTAATGGAGGAACTGAAGATGATGCTGACAATATGCATGTTGATAGAGAGTTTGCTGTTATATCAGGTGGGAGTGGAGAGTTCCCTGTTAACCACAACAACGTGCAAACGGTTGAAGATACCAAACAGAAGAGTGGTTCTGTTGGACCCAAAGAGATTGAAATTTACACAGTTTCTGCAATGCAGACTCCTTGTCGTTGCAAGAATCAATATGCATTTTATCTTTAACAATTTTACTGCACATGTCCCACAGTCTTAAAACTTGTATTGCTAAAATATCGTAAGCCTTTTAAGTAGGAAGACTGTTTTCCAGAAGGTGTTTGTGAGACTCAAAAGACATTCTTGATTACGGATCAGAATATATTTCTAGTGGCTGTTCCACTTAATGCCATGTGCCTTGATCATAAAAGAATGCTTCTTAAAATAATATTCATAGTCATTAGTGCAACAATTTATTGTAACTAAAAGGAAAAACTGATTGTGCTATGTTCATAATCATATGATTAACGTGTAGTATCACAAATTTAGTCAAGCACTACCATTTTTGCTCCAAAGTTCATCTATGTACATTAAAGCAATCTTTCTATTTGGATTTTTTTGCTAGTGTTTTGCCAAATTTGCTGAACTGATGCTGTGCATTTTAAGTTAGTTTTTTGAAATCCTGAAGGAAATGCTGTTAGTGTTCATTTAAAGTACAATAATTAGTACCTTCCCATGTCAAGGGCTGCTATAAGTATATGGAATTCTCCAAGGCCATGAAGGGCTGCAATCATATACGGGGGTTATTTTAAAGTTGATCCTAGGGATGGAACCCCCCTGTTTTCCTTGTGATTACAGTTTGCAGCCTTTTCTTCTGTAGTTTTGACCCTGATAAAATTGTCCTTCCCACACAATTGTTAACCTGGAGAATTTCTAGTGAAGTACTTATATATAAATCCTGACCTGGATTCAAGTCATGTAATTAATATAATGTACAGTTTGAGCTACACTCACTTTAGGGAATGTTTGCTTGAAACAAGCGCACATTGCTTGTGCAGAGCTGCCTGCCCCCCATGAAAATGAATGGGGAGAACTGTCCACAGTGTTGGTGTGAACAGAGCTCATACTTGTCATGCCTGTTCTGGATCAGTACAGATTTCTTTAGTCTGAAGCTGGTGGTAGTTAAATTTTTCAAAAGGACTCCTATGGATGTATCTCTTACATTCACATTTATTTTTAAGAGAAAATATTTATGATCTGTGATGTATAGGAACTTGAAACTGATTGGATGATACAGTCGTATAAAATTAAAGGGAAAGTAATGACACTTTAATAATTATTTTTGAAATAGAAAATAAATGTAGCTTTTTATTATGGCATTTGTATAATTTAAGCATAAGCCCTGTCCTCAGTAGAAATACTCCTACATGAACAAAAACCTTACACAGCTTTTATTAAGGAGGTAATTACTTCTTTGTGGTTTGCATTCCCAATAGGTACTTCCAAGTTTAAATCATTGAGATTAATACAACACTTTTTTTCCTTAGGTTTTTGCTAGGAGGCCCAACTGAGTTATTGCCATATTTGGGTTAGTCATCACATTTGTATGGAAAAATGAACCAGGATTCCAAAGAATCCTAGCTAATTGTGAACAAGCTTGTGTGTACAGTCTGTTTGCTCCACCTTGGCTTCTCCTTGTAGCGTAAGCCTCTAACTTAGATAAGGATTGAATGTTTACCTTGTCATCTGTTGTGAGGGTCCGCTTTCACGTACTGGATAGTTAGCAGGTAGGTAGAAAACACGCAGACCTTAGTTTGTCCTCGTGGTTTCTCTGCATCCCATATATGGGCTTTGCACCTGTGCAGAGCCTTGAATCAGGAATGCTGCTATAGCTGAGCATTCATTTCTTGGGTGGGAGCCCCTCACCTTCCCGTGCCCAGGAGGCCATGGGGTGGGTTCCCACCATCTCCTCAGCTCCTTACCAGGGTATGTAGGGAATTGTGCCTTGTTTTAATGCAAATACATGTTCCCATGGCCCTAGTTTTAAAGTGAAAATCCTGCATTTGTTGCTGTCAAAATCCAGTGTTGTTGATGTGAATGGATGGTTACCCCTGGGCTTAGTGGAGAAGAGGGAGCCAACAGGGTGTATGTTATATCAGTACACAGCTTGTTTACAGTAAGCTCATTTCTCCAGAATTCTGCTTCATATTCCATGTAAATGTGAATAACTCTCCAAACATATTGAGCCACAATAATTTATAGAATATTGAAAAAATATAATGTGGCACTTTGTCAAAATAAGGCAGAATTGAGCTATGAGTTAAAACTTGTTTATTTGTAAATAGTCTTTGGTGTATCTAAAACTCAAGGGAACTCTAGAATCAATACTAAGTAATGAGTTGCCAAATACAGTACTGCTCCTACTGTACAAGATAGAATATTTTGGCATATTTAACCAAGAAGCTATTTTTCATGCCAATTTGTTGTTCATACTTGTCCTATTATGTGGCACTTTATATTTACATACATACATATGAAATACTGCTCCTGAAAAATGGTAAATATTGCAGTAAGTAACAAACCTGAGAAAAGATTGATTATTGGACTGTTTATAGTGCTGGGTACAGTTTGCATACATTTATGACATTTTTGCAAATGTACTATACAGCTTCTTGAAACTCCATTTTATAGAATAGCATGGGAGGTTGCTTTGTATTTAAGTTAAAAGTTGATGTAAAATAACTAACAAGACATGTTGCATAATCATTCTTGCATTTGCATAAGGCTTTTTTATATATAATGGCTGCCTACTGTGTACTTCTCTGAAATTTGAAAGGCAAAACTAATAAAATTACTGTTTTGCTATGCTAGAAAATTTGCAACTTTAGTTTCTATTAACCAATAATACCAACTTTTATATCCTAGCTTGGAAGCCTAACATTTTCTGTATTCCTTTTCCAAAATAGTGCTTACAGTTATGCATGATCTATGCCATATCAGCTATAACATTAGAAAAGTCCTTACAGGCCATTTGTATGCATCATAATGCAAACCCCACTGTGCTCAGTGGAGTAACTCCTTAGTAAAATTTATATGGGATTGTGGCCTTAATAGATTGATCATTTTAGGTATCTTTAGCTGGAAAAGCAGTATGTAAATTTAAATTAATGTAAAGTGTATTTGTATAATTTGTTTCTTGGCCTTCGTTAAGCACAGACAACTTTTTTTTTCCCCCCAAAATGTATAAGCAAGATAAGGCCTAAAACATGGGGTCTGCACTGGCACAGGTTTGTTTAAATACAGTTAATTTATAAAACTCTTATTAAAGTGTAGTATAATGTGATGGCTTTTATTTTGATTGAGTCAATTTACGATGACAGGTCTATTTCTTAATGCAGATATGAATTGCAGTAACTCCATATTGAATGCATTGGCAAATGGACATATCATCAATGGACACTGGGACTTCACTTCCCCAGCACAGCTCAATGGATTCAGTGCCAGGCGTGAAGAATGCCTAACATTGCTTGTATCTAATGCACAAGCTTCTGCTCATAAACATACGCTTAATGCTGGCAACAGTGTTGAGGAACCCGAAAAAGTTTTAAATCCTGCTTCTGATATGTGTGGTTCCTTGCATCTGAATGGAAGCCCAAGTAGCTTTGTCTCAAACAGGCCCTCGTGGGTGGATGACGCTGGAGATACATTGCACTATGGACACTACCATGGCTTTGGGGATACTGCTGAAAGTATTCCTGAACTTAACAGTGTTGTTGAGCATTCCGATTCTGTTAAAATTGCACAAAAATATGATAATACTGTCTTGGGTACAATGTATCTTTATCATGGTTCCTAAGTTGTTGACACTGCATTTTGTAGATGTCAGACACTTTGAAAAAGTACTACAAAACTATAATTTGGGGTGGGGGAGGTATCTGAAGGATGCAATGACTAACAAGGTTTTTTTTACACATTGTTTTAAAGAATTTGACACTTGACAGCCTTATGCTTATAATTTTGCATGCAGAGTTCATTAGTTTATTTGAATAGGTGCTTTTACAATGGAATGTTCTTTTTTATGACAGGTTCTAGTTTTGTACTTTTTTATTTGTAAGCTATATACACTCTAGAACATTGTTTTCACTTTCATTAAGCTATTTGAAGATTAAACTTTGTGGAAAAGTTTGTTCTTGGCGTTGGCAGAATACGAGTCTCTGATTTAAGTTTTCTGTTGAGACTGTGGTAACTAATATCAGTGCTGGCAATGACTATGCAAGGAGTGGATGGTGGCCGTAAAAGCATTTGACATTTGCTTCTCCAAAGGAAGTGCATTTTCTTTGAGTAAGTTAATAAACAGCTTGACATGCAGTAGTGATTCAATGGTTCCTCACATGTTTTACTTCATAAACTTATATTTAGGTGGCTGTCCGTCCAATTTATAGCAGCTTTTTTGTACTATAGAATTAGTAAATGGGTTCCTAGTGTGTAAATGAAAGAGGAAACGGGGGTGTTTTCCTTTCGGTTCACTGCAAATGTATGCATGATGTTTTACCATGGCTCACAGAATGGCATTTTGGCACTGTTTTACTGTGTATGTGAATTACAGAAATGGTTATTTCTTCAAATGTTGTCTGGTCAGTATATTTCAAGTTTGTTTTTTTACATGCATATAGTTTGTTTTGTTTTTATAAGAGAAACACATTGGTTTCATTTCCAACCTAAAGTAAGGGGTGGTATACATGTTTTAAAAAAAGAATCCGTGGAAATACATTATTTGAAGGTTAAATAGGTTGTGTGTATATACAGATATCTGCACATGCACTGCAAAAGCTTTGTATCATTACTAGTTTGTGATTTGGGGGTAAAAATAAGATGAATGAAGAATGGGTTAAGCTAAAAAACAAACTGGTTGTGTGATTCTATTGTGTTTGTATCTTTTGTTTCCAAAGGGACCTTTACAAATTTTAAAAATGACTTGCATTATGTGCAGTGGCAGTATTTGCCTTTTATCTATCATTTGGTTCCTGAATGCATTTAAAATCAGAGTATAAATTTCCCTTTCAAAATGAGTTGAAATTAAATGAAGAAGGTATAGTTGTAAGAAGTGCTTATTCTATAAATCACTAAATGTCCCACCACTTCTCTATCATGGAAGGATTTTGGTGAATTACACCATAATATTCTTGTACCTTTTCATATCCTGAATATTCTTTTTGGGCTCCATGCAGTATATGGCTTCTGTGCATGTCCAGGACCTATTTCAGGAAGCTTCTATAGCTAGACTAGAGATTTGGCAAGCATTCTGCAACCATCATTTCCATGTTCCAAGGAAAGTGGCTCTTGCCTTCCTGCTAATTTCATTTCTGACTACCAACAAGCATCTAAGGAAAGCTGTTTAGAGCTAAACAAATACTCATTTTGTCTCCTCTTCTTCTTTCTGTCAGCTTAGTGTTCTTTCTGTTTGCAGTTAGTTTTCCTCACTGCCTTTCAGGATGAGTTTTTTTTCTTCCAAGACCATCAGGTGGCTATAGCTTAGATGGTAGAATTTTCCCATGATAGTTCATCTTGTGGTAGCAATTTCTCAGCTACCATCAGCCGCTTACAAATTTGTTTAAGCACTGTTGAGATTTTGCATGATGGGCAGTGATGATTACTGCATCCTGCCTGTGTGCCCTCTGTTGAGGTGGACATTCGGGTCCGTGGATATCAACTTCCAGTCCTTGGTTCTGTTTTATAGTGGTACTATTAAGGATTTCAAAAACAAGCTACATCACTTTTCTACATAGTCACCTTCCTTTGTGATGAGTTTTTCCCAGTGTCATACCAACTTTTTAATGCCATCAGCAAAAAATATTTTTGGTAGAGCATGTAGCCACTCATGCACCGCTGCTTTCACATCATCATCACATGAAAATCTTCCCCTTAAAGTTTCTTTGAGTGGTTCAAAAAGGTGGAAATCAGATGGCGCTAAATCCAAACTAAGCTGTGTGTTCCATAACCTCCCACTTCAGTTGTCTGAGAGTATCCAGTGTGTGGGCTGCAGTGTGGGGGCGGGTGGTTTTGTGCAGCAACACAATTCCCTTTAACAAAACGCTGTTCCTCTTTGGTGCAGTTTGTAAGTTTTGCAGCCATCTTCACAGGGTGGCATATCATACTAAACTGCAAGGGCAGCTGGCTTGCCAGACAGACTAGTCACATGATACTCAGACATGCCCAATTATTCTTCCTGCTTTCCCTGTTTCCAATTAAGATAGAAAAGTGCAAAACCTTTTTGCAGATCCCTCGTAAATCTGAACTGTCTGGTTGGGAATTTTGTTTTGTGAGAAAGCTGGGTTCCCATTTCCAGACAGGTTACAAATTGATCTTTCAAGGGTTGTGCAATCCTATCCAGAACCAGCAATGATCCTATCTCCCAGACTCAAGGTTTACTCCATTCTCTGGGGAGAGTCTGTGGCCACCCAAGGAGCTCCCCTGAACAACCACCAGATGAAATGGAGGCAGCAAACCTCTGCTGTCTCCAGCAACATGCAGTAGCACCAAAGTTTGGCGTGTGCTTGGTCATCCCCACGGTTAAGTCTTGCACTATTTGCACACTAGCTGATGTACAGCCAGTATCACTGATCATATATCCCCAGTATACCAATCAGAGGCACAGGCTCTGTGATGACAGGTCACTCAGGTACAGTTGTGTCAATGGCTCTGCAGTTTATTGTTCCATAGACTAGAGTTTTGGATCTCTGGTTCTTTCCACAATGGCATCTGAAATCCGTGGGCTTCTATCGGCTTCCTAGGGCATACCATCTCTACTCCTGCAAGAGGGAAGTAATGGAATAAATCCATTTCTTACCAAGAAATGGCCTGATCACAACACTGGGTAATCTGGACTTCCCACTGCTGTAAGTTTTGCGACTTCCTTCACAGCTTGGACCAAACACCAGATCAAGGGTGTACCCCACATCAATACCCTTGGGCCAATGACAAGCAGAGGTCCCCATAGTGGTTATGGAGGCCAGAAAGTCCTGAGCCAAAGCTGCAGAGGCAGCCCCAGCCTGGCGGTCCTGTGTTCCTCCAACATCCTATTTGAGGCCACCTCTAACAGCTCCGAAGTCAATTGGACTCAAGGGTTGGTGGTACACCAGCAGCACCCCCAGTTTGATGCTGAGCACCAAGGGCAACCTTCAAGGTCCACTCCAAGATGGAGTGGCTTCCTGCTAATAGGAGTTCTGCCCCCCAACCCTCCAACATTTTATATTCCCAAGTGCTTAAGAAGTTAAATGTACCAATGAAGCAGAGTGGTAAAATCAATGAGCCTGCAGGCCACATGTGTTCCCCCTCCCCCATTTTTCTGATGTTGGCGATATTTGTCCCAAATAGTGTAGCAGTTGTGATGGTACCCCAAACTTTTAACTTTGTTTTTACATAAACTTGCAAGGATCAGTCTGCTTCTGAAGAAGAAACTGCTTTCTTCACTCCAGATGAATCAGGTAGTCAATCATGCACTGGATCATGTTTCTGTTACTCAGCCTTGAAAGCATCCTGTGTTTCAGACACCACTATTTTCTCTGTGTGGTGTTATCATCAGACCAATATTGTCATCACTGTGATGGAACCAGGATTTAACAAGCATGCTGCTCCTGTTCACCGACTGTATACTGGCCCTGCTGTTCTCCCCTGCAGATCTCTCAAGTCTCTGGGAGGTCATACACCTCTAGAGATAAGTCCTGGGGGCACGTTCAGCATCAGTTTTAATGTTCTCCCTGCATGCAGTGGTTTCCAACCAGGTCACCACCACCACCTCACTATTGATAATTGCCTGCCCTTAGCTGCTCCCCAACTGTCCAACCTGGAGAGGATTATCTTTTACTGCCCTGTTGGTAGTACTTGTTGCCAACTACTTACAGCAGCAGTGGTTGTACCACTGGCTGGCTACTCCCTGCATTGGTACCAGTACAGAGTTACATTCTTTTGGTTTGAAATCTATTCTGCTCTCATGGGGCCTTCTGGTGGTGTCATCTCCCGCTTCAAGCTGCTCACTGACTAAGCCAACTGCCTCAGAAATGGAAGATTTGCCAAATGAGGCTTCTTCCTCCCTGACACAATCCATGATAAATATTGAAAAACAACATTCTGTGTAACAGCCATATTTTGAATTAATCATGAATGGTGGAATTTGTTACCTGCTCTATTCAAAATCCAATGTCCAAGCTTGATAATGTTCACACATCAATGCTAACCGCTATTCCCCTCCTACCAGCTTTGTTATAGATCAGATCATGAAAAAAATCCTGGATGGAACTTTTCCCTGTGCGACCAGCATCAGGAAATTGACACAAAAGTCCAAGAAAAGGAATTTTTTAAACATCTTGCACCAAGTTCTGTCATCCTGGAAGTAACATAGGCTTAATGTTCTGTGTTGGGTTGTAATGTCTTCTCACCAGCTGCTTTATCAAGCCTGTGTGTTCGGGTATCAGAATGTTTTTGTAGTGGAAAAACCCCTTCCTCCCTGGAGCACATGCCAGATGACAAACAGGAACTTAATATTTAAGCATGAAGATTTCTGTTTGGTCAAACAGTAGGGTAGCATCTCCCAGCATGTGATTAGTTGCAGTTTCAGCTCTGTGATAATCATGGCTTTGATGAGGTCATGAGCAATCTAATGCTTTTACCCAAGGGACTAAAAATCATGTTCAGTAAGGTCACTGATGACTCTGTGGACTAAGAACAGAAACTGTACAATTCCACATCATATCAGTGCCATAAATGATCAGATAAACCCCAGTGGCAGTCAACTTCTTCAGGCCAAACTACATCTAGGCCCACTCCATTTCAAAGATGTTGTCAGACTATGGTATGGACCTAATTGCAATGGTGAAGCAAATTTTGCTTGTCTCAAATTTCCCACCATTCAGGTTTATAGTATGAACCAGAATTCTAGTACTCTAGCAGAAGAAAAATGTGTGCTTATTCACTTTCTCTACATGCATTATTTTATACATCTCATGTCTTCCTGTACCCTTACCGGTGTGTTCCTCCAGTGCCTTTATTATTAATGTTGCCCTTTTTCAACACAGTATTCCAAGTCTGGTTGCACTATAGATTTGTATAAGGTTAGCATGATACTGGAAGTTTATTTTCAATTCCTTTTCTAATAATGCACAGTATAAATCCAGTGTGCATTGGATTGATATTTTTCTCAAACTTCCACACATAGCCTAAATTCTTCACGGGCAGTCAGCAGCATGTTCATAACATTGGGGATGGAGTTTCCCCAGTGTGCATTACTTTACACTGAACTCTGAATTGCCTGTGCAATTCTAATACTCATTCTCCCAATTTGGAGAGATTATTTTGGAGCCCTTCCCAATCCCCGTTTGTTCCAGTCACTCTAATTTGGAGTCAGCAGCAAAGATGGCTACCTCGCTGCAAAAGCTTTCCAGAATTCCTGGTAATAATACTGTCCCCCAAACCTTTTCATGTGTGCAATTGCTGCTTCTATTTTAAACATACAATCGCACCACTTTAAGAACATTTTAAGCATGAAGCCCTAACAGAAGCATATATACAATGAAAACCTTCCATTTAAAACCAAGGAAAACGAGTTTTTAATATGTTCTGAAAAGCAATAAGGCTATGAATCTCGAGCAAATTCCATAGAACAGGGCTCACTACTGAGAGGGAAAGGGGGCAAAAGTTACTGAATGAGAAGTATATATGGCCCGCTGTATAGAATATAAGTACCAATGAACAAGCATTTTTAGATTATGTTAATGCATTCAATCAATATCACACCTTTTTCCTGCATGGTAACCCAAAGCAGTTTTCATAATATTCTTCCCTATTTTATCCCCAAAACCTTATGAGTTAGGTTAGGCTGAAAGCCTATGATTGGTCCAAGTTAGGACCAAGCACTAAGCAGGGACTA